GGATCTACCGTGGATTGTGCTGCTTTTCTGCGAAGTGCTCGAACTCTGCTCCTCTCTGTGTTAAGCTCTGGTGACCACCAGGATATCGAGTGTTTTGCCTTTACAGATTTCAACGATATGCTTTGTGGGCGGCTTGCACTATTTTTGTAACTAGTAAATCGTAGAGATTATCTAAGGAGTTTCTGTCCTGGCAGTTGTTGAAATCTTTGATAAATTTCTCTACATGCGCTCGAATGTGTTCCCGTAAAATGGAATGACCTCCAAATGCCGTTTTGAATCTTTTCTTTATTATGTAGTCTATAGGAGTATCCAGCCTGTAAGTAATAATTTTGTGATCACTGAGTGACGGCAGGTCACTCACTGTCCAATCTTGTATGTATTGGGAGTTGATATTGTTAGATCTGGCCACCCTCGAGCTCTAGATGTTTCAAAGGTAGGCGGTGAGTCCTGAGCGTTGATGACAATGAAATGCTTACTGTCTAAGAATTCGAGTACCGCAATTTCCCTTCGGTTCTCCGAGTCAGCACCCCATAGTTGACTGGCCGAGTCTCCTGCTATGATACAGTGTGATGCCCCAGTTAGAAGGTTAGAATTAAGTTCCTCTAATAGAGAGGTAATATCTTCGCTCGGGGGTAGATACACAGCAATAATATCAATGCTGCAATTACTAGTGTCTAGTCTGATGGAGACTGTATGCTCTGTGATTTTCATTAGGAGAGGGGAGAGAGGGCCACTGTAAATAATAGCAGCTAGCTGATTCTTTGAGAGAAACGTTTCTGCTGTGTGTTGGAACACTAGGAATCACTCCGTTGAGAACGTATGGCTCTTGGAAGATTCCCGACATTGGCAGCAGTATGTGTCATTACTTGCAGCGTATTTATGGTTGCTGCATGCACTTTCTGCAAGTTACACTGTAAAAATCGAAGACCTGCTATATGTTTGTTTAGTGTCATCATTTGGTTTAGTTCTTTGCAGTGGTCCTTCTCAGACTCTCGAAATGGGCTCCATACACTGGGCAGGAACTTGAAGTAGCTGGGGTGATCTGTGCTGAAAGAGGTCCCCTTTTCAGAATTACTACTACTGCAGCAATTAGTGCAACTCACTTTTTCCGAGCTACACTCCTGCGTCGGCTGGCTGTTACCACACTTCGCGCAAACTGGAGCGTTTTTACAGTTCCTGCTATAGTGACCGAACTCCTGGCAGTTGTAACAGCGTATGATCCTAATGTACGGACGGAGAGGACAAGACTCAAAACCCACTAAAAGACGGCCTAGCTTAACTAGGTGTTCTGCTGACTTAGGATCTATGTCTATCACCCAGTTTTTCCTTCCGCTTTGCCCGGAACCGCTTGCTCGTATTTGAAAAGCTCTGGGATTGAAATTGGGCAGTTGGTCTACAAGTGCTGCTGTTAGATCTTCTTTTCCTAGATTCTCAGGTACTCCAAAAATAATTACACTTTCCCTTCTTGGCTTGGGCTCCCGAAATTCAAGTGTCTCTAGTGCTGGCCTGTCCTCGATTGCCTGTTTCAGGCGTAGCAGGTGAGCTTTTTCTCGACACCGGATGAGAAGCTCTCTGGATCTTGTCGGCTGAATCTGCACTAAAGTGATCCCTAGCTGGGAGGGTTTCAAATCTGCCGAAAGTTGAACTTTAATCCCTTCGGGTGTCCGTGTGGAGTTCTTTGACCTTAATAATAGAACGTGCTCCGATAGAACTGGAGAAGATCTTGAAGCTGGGGAAGTTTTCCGCTTCTTTCGTGTCACCTCAGTGAAGGAATATTCTTTTGTGGACTGTTCTTCTGGGGCTGAGGATTCCACTGCTTGAAAAGACTCGGAATGTTGAGGATTCTCGTGAGATGGCTGTAAACTGTGTGCGAGTTGCTGTTGTTGCAGAGCCAATACTTGTCCCTGTAGCTGGGCGAGATAAACCTCTTGTTCCGTTAACGTTATGCGAACGGTGTTCACAAAAGATGTAAATTGCTTTCTTTCAGAAGCGTTTAGTCTGCGAGATTCCTTTGCTTGTAAGATGAATAACTGGAGTTGGTTACAGATGTGGTTAATTGCTTCCAACCTGGAGTTAGGTGTCGATGTGCTAGCAGCACCTTTAACAGAAGGGGGAGAATGTTGAATATTATGCTCCGTGCCGGCCGGTGATGACGGAGTATCCGAAGGCATAGTAAGTAAGAGAACACAATGAAGATGCTTTCAGAGCATAAAAAACGAATGATGAGATGAATGATGGATACACATGCACCTGCAATATTCCAGGAATACTCAGTTTACGTGATAGCACTGTAAGGAAAGGTAGCGGAACACAATGAACACACTTCACGACGCTAAACTTGAATGAGGAGATGCACGATCAGATCGCATGCACTTGGGCTAGAGTACTAAGCATGTGCCGTAGCAATAATAGATTAGATAGTTCCGAGAACACAATGTGTGCACTTTCACGGCACTAAAGTGGATGAGGTGATGTATAATGAAACCTCATAAGCTAATAGACTTTCTTGTATATTGAGTATGGGTTGTAGCACTATAAGAGGAATATATATATATATATATATTTGTTTTATATAAAATGTGACGCACACACTTTAACCTTATATACTAAACAGTTCTAGGTAAGCACAGACTGATAATCACGCACACTATTACACAGCACTGAATAATAACAAAATGACTATTAGAACACAATGCACACACTTTCTAGGACTAAACTCGAATGAGAAGATGCGCAATCAAATCACATAAACTGACAATAAAGTATGCACTATAGCACTATAAGATGAGATAACTTCAAAAACACTATACTTTCACAGCACTGAAAATTTGATTAGGAGATGTGAATGAAGAAATTCTCATAAATAAATTATACCTTGCATAAATATTGAGTTTGCGCTGTAAGCACTGTGAAAGAAAAGATTAAAAAAAAAAGAAAGAAAGAAAGAGCAATAACATGTGCACACATTCACGGTAAGAAAAAAAAAACACACTCACTGAATAAAAAAATTACGCACTCTGTACTCTGTAACGCAGCGCTGTGTTTAAAAAAAAAAAAAAAAAAAAGAGATGAATTACTTGAGCACAATACACGCACTTTTCACTGCCCTAAGTAAGTACTGAATAATATTCACACGCACTATATCAAAGCACTGAATAATATGATGAATACTGGAGCTCTTCGTAGCATTAAACTTGAATGAGGAGATGTACAATCAAATCGCATACACTGCCGATAAAGTATGTACCGTACTGCGAGAACACGATGCACAAACTTCCGGTATTAATAATGAAATAAGGAGATGTATGGTGAAATTTCAAAAATCTTCTTTACATATATTGAGTATGTGCTATAGCACTAGTTCGGACTGGGGTATGTAAGAGGTAAATACTTCGTAAGCGTTAAAATCTCTTTCAAAATAAGCAATGCACACACTTTCAACATAATGAACTTGGATGAGAAATTGCATTAAGCATGCACACACTTTCACAGATATGAACTTGGATGAGGAATTGCACTGTAGCACTAATAAGAGGAAAATACTGCTTGAGCTGAATGCAAACACGCACTTGGCACGAATGATGTGTAGTACTAATAAAAAAAAATCAAATACACTGACAAGTCGTAAGATGATTACTATTCTTATGTGGCCAAAGATGGCGGTTGACAATCTTTTTCCCTTCTTGTTTTGAAAGAAGGGGAAAAAAAAAAAGCGCATTTTGGAAGGGGTGGATTTAGAGTAGTATTCGATTACAAGCGCACCCCTGCGCTGCCTGTGTGCCGAGACTGAGAGGAGGGGAGAATGCTAAAGTTCCTTTTTCTTATCAGCAGCAGAAGAAGGAGGATCGGGTAACCGCGTTTACTGTGTTAAAGTAACAACGGTCAGGAACACAAGCCGGAACAGTAATACTTAGAAAATTAATTAAACAATCAGTGAATAATGATGAAACTTACACTACTGAAGTCCTAGTGCTTTGCTGTAACTGCAGATACAAAAAAATCTCTTGTAAGGCTGGATATTCCGTTCACCGTGAAGCAAAATGTGGGAGCAAAATTCATACGACCTCTTATCTCTGCGTATAGACGCGCTCTGTCGAATAGGATAGTGTTTTATTTTGGTTGTTAATAAAACTTAAAATTGTCACAAATGCAATAAACTAAGAGCTAATACATTTTTCATTCACTTTCTCTTGTTGTGTAGCTTCTAGATAGAAATCATATAATTGAAATAGAAAATAAGTAAATAAGTAAATTCTTAAGTCATTAAAAAAAGGAATGTTAGAGAGTTTTATGTTAAGTATGTACGTCTAATCCAATTTTAGCCACTAAGTATCGCAAGTGATTAGCAGTTGAACTTCCTAATTCTCCGACGCGTATTTATACCCTGCAGCATGAGCTCTGGAAGCTTCTGGAAGAATCCGTCGTAGAACTTCGAAAATGGGTTTTCACGACGAATCTTCCAGAAATTCGCCAAGTTAGTGACAAATCACCAAATATCACTAATTTAATTACCAATATTTTCCCCGATGCTTCTTGGTAACGTAACTGCATACATCTCGAGTTTTAACTGAGTTATTTTTACAATTCCAAAGCTGTTGCACTCGTAATTAAAAGGTCTACAATTCTGTGCAACAAATACATATTAAATATAAAGCATGTGATCAAACACAAAACAAATTGCAAAATTACCATTCTAAAAGTAATAAATAAATAAAACAATACAAACTACTGCAACAATGCAGAAAATTAAAAACAGAATGAAAAATCATTAAAATATTTATAACAGTGTACCTAATAAATGAGTTTAATTCCATTACAATTTGAAAGCAATTTTTCCTCATTGTTAAATGTTATCATTCCGTTAATGTTATCAAAGTAGCTGTGGACAAACGTGATCACATTAAGCGGCGGATTCTGTAAACAACTATTGAAGATAATTGTACTAAAAATTGCTTAATTGCATTATTTAATCTGTATTAACTAGAGAACTTTTCTTTCAGGTTTGCATTCACTGCTCCTTCCGAAATGCCAAAGAATACAACTGGCCGAGCCGGTGTATTATCCTGGCTGCCGATTTTGCTTCCAATGGAATATACAACTTCATTGTTCCGTTACGAGCACACTTCCATTTGCCACAAACGCTCCGACCCATTATTCTTCTGCTAGAAAGAAAGTACGTAGCAAAGTCTAAATTTTACCTTTCAGACTGATAAAAGTAAACATAGTGAAAAGCATTCCTGAAACTCTGTTTTTAATAATAAAAAGTCTGATGAGGCGAGCACAAGATTTCCTCGATGATAATTCTTTTTATCAATCTTCTAATGCTGATTCTTAGCAGTGAGCTATGATCGCTCAGATAAGTGTAGGAACGTTTTTTAAAAATTCCATGTCTTGTATAGGAACGAGCTTTAAGTAAAGTATTACTTCCGGTTGATTGTTTGGAAAGAAAATCTTATTTATTATTCCAATAAATAGAAAAGTCTTTGATACGAAATTTTGGATTACATTTTATTAGGTATGATTAGCCATGTGTCAAATGGTTTCCCGTGTACTTCGTTTTGTTAAAAACCGTATTTTATTGGGCAGTTGAATATCATATGATGTAATTGTTTTTAATTAAAAAAGAATTAAAGAAAAGGAAGAATATGTTTATAATATATGATATTTGTTTCAAAAATACTTTGAAACAAATAATTTAATTTAATTTTCTTATATGCTGCTTCAGTAGTATCAGCAAATCTAAATACATTTTGATCTGCACATATATCCTCGTGATACTTAGATATTAGTAAATAATGCCGATTATTTTTCTCCAATTCCATTGCAAGTTTTGAATATTTAGATATTAGTAAACATTTCCCATTATTGTTCGATAGATTTAGATATTAAAAAACATTACCCATTGTTGTTTTCCAGTCCTTTACAAGTTTTATTACAATATATTTTGAAATTTATTACAATATATATATTCACGAAAATATATTCAGAGCTTCAGGTAAAGTATCACTTTCAGAATATCAATTTTAGCTAAAATCAAATATGTTGTTCCCATTGATATATAAGTCTTAATATTGAAATTGAAAAGTTTTGACTTGTATTATATTACAGTTTTTCATAAAACAATTTTTATCACAGTTAAAAACTGTTGTGGGCTTTAAGTAAAGTACTACTTTCGGTTGTTCGAAAATCTAATCACCTCTTTTATATAAATGTAGAAAGCGAAACAAGGAAAAAATATGATGATAAATAATTAAATTATAATTAATAATAAATAAAATAAAAAATAAGAATGAAATTAATTTAATAAAATAAGATAATAATAAAAAAATTGTGGAAGTTTGATACAAGAGTTCTCGCTAGAATAAGTTCTCGCTGTAACCAATCCTTTAACTGTTGGACTAAATGTGACAACAAGGGTGTCCTCTGGTGATTAGCCAGACTTTAGTAAAAGGCAAGTGTCTAACCTGATAGGTTGTATCAGATTCTTGCTCTGTAATTTTTCTCTAAGTTAAATGTAATGTTCGTGTGTAACTTAAAACCTGTTAATAAATACTTGTTAAACTATACAGGGCGCTTCTATGACCCTATCTAAAACGACCCTGTCACATCGCTAGAATAAATATTTGTCTAATTTCAACTTTTACATTAGCAAGTTCTCCTCCGATGAGGAAGGCTTTCCGGGAAGCATATAAGCATTCTGTACCGCGCCACGCACATAGGGGAAAATCCCTGCTCGTGATTGGATATGGCTTCCGATGGCATCATTTCCTCTAAGCTTAGGAACGCCTTGACTTTGCTTGGGGCTCGAGGATATACCTCCATACCGTTTGTTTACATTTTGGTAACAGTATAGAAAAGATTATTACATGCGTTGTATTTTTGTTGCTATGATATTTTACTTCTTACAATACTGTAGTGTGGTGAATTTGATGTAAAAAAATGTAGTGATTTTTTTTCGTAGAGAGGAAAAGTATTATTTCTTCTTGTGCTAAATCCGTAAATGTGTATTAATATTAAGTGCAGAGAATTTTTAATAAATGTATTCTTAATTAAGGGGACTCGGTATCCCTAAGTTTGTCGAAAAACGATGAAAATAACTATTTTCTAATTTTTTGCAAAAAATGTTGTTCAATATCATTGCTACGCTGAGACGTTTTGAAGCAATCTGACAATAATAAATGGTATAAAAAGTACTTAAATCATTTAGACAGCTCTTTAAATGCCTCGCCCACCCCAGTGTTTACTTTCTTTTAATTCTTATTTTATGTATTTACTGTTGCCACCAAATGTTAGAGTCCTGCATTATATTTGAAGAAATTAAATAATGAAAAATCTGCATAAATGATTGTCTATTTCTCGCATTGTGATAAAACAATGGTACATAGAGCCATCGAATTTTGAATGACGAAATCCTCCTACTGCGAATATGGGCATCTGAAATCCCAAATTTGGAATTTGTTTTATTATAGATTTTATATTTTGTAAAACTTTAACGAATTTTTGATTTACAAACTCAATGCTTTAAAAGCGAGAAATGGCAACGTTATATAGAAAAAAATACTTTTATCTCCAGCTCGCGAGACTGTGTATATCGGAAATTCTAAAGATATTGCATAATTTAACATTATTTTGCGATATTGCTCTTGAACTGAATTTTATGGTTTAAGTGCAAAGAACATGATATTTAATAAATAAAGGTAACACTCAAAACGTTAAAAAAACGCCCCTTTGTACGTAATTTAAAATCTGAAAAATTTCAGATTTTTTTTTTTTTTTTTTTTTTTTTTTTTTTTTTTTTTTTTTTTTAATTCTCAGCAGTTTTAATAGTGAAATTTCATTTTGAATTTCTGCAAATATCTTTTAAAGAAATTTTTTCCTTGTAATATAATACTTGCTTAAAATACTTGTCCAGTATTTTAAAGCAAAACGTTTTTTAAAAGATGATTTTAGAGCACTTCAGTCTTTTCTCTTGAATCCCCAGCAATTATAACGTTGGTATTACTTAAGATGTTAGACTCTAATTCAAAATTTTCAGATTATTAATAGTTTTACACCTTAAAGTTTTTCACTGAACTTCCAAAATCCTATTCTCTCTATAATTAACAGACACAATCTAAACAAAGCCATAGGAAAGTGGGAAATTAAGATTTTTAATTTATCTTCCACGTATGTAACCGATTCAAGTAAGTACGTAACATCAAATCGTCTACGTGTATAACCAACTCAAATAAGTAAGTAACGACAGAGTAATAACCAAATCTTATGCGCACAGCAGCCTCTCAGAGTCGGTTATTAATTATTGGGTTTGCAAAGGCAACAAGAATCAACGTATTATTAAAACGTTTTCAAGACTAGTTTCGAAGGTTCAAACACAGAATATTCTTCTTCAACTGCAGAAGTGCAAATGACAAAGAAGAAGCCTGTGCTCAGGCGATAGCAATGAGAGGAAAGAAGTCAAGCTACTGGTGCCTCTGTTGATGAAAAATGTTAACAGCTATGAAAGACATAAATCATCCAACAAACAATAAAGGATACCTTTTCTTTATTGTTCATTTATTTATTCTTCCATCCTTTATTGATTAATAAGTTAAGCTATGCGATTTAAAACCAGTGCTTGGTATGCTAAACACTTTTTAGGCTTCCGCAGACGTAATTGATCCCCAATATGATGCCATTCGGCCAATCAAAATACACCTTTCTTTCCCAACTAATCAACGTGCTTTGCTTAACAATGTAAAGATTTAAAAGCAAACAAGGCACTTCTTAATAATTCAAATTTTTATTTTGCTTTTTAAGTAATACTTCAAATTATCATATATTCAAATACATTTAAATTAAAATATATCCGACTGATAATTTTTATGAGCATTTCCAGCTTTGTTATAATTAATGTAATTAATTATAATGAAGCTGGAATTATCTGAAAACGCTACCTGTTAAGTAACTGATACAGAATCATTTTAATATCTTTTTTATTTATTGAAATTGCTAGTGGTGAACTCTTCTTTTAACTATTAAACTGTGAACTGAAATTTTCATTCTGTAGTTTTTTTTTTTTTTTTTTTTTTTTTTTTTTCAATGAATTAATTTTTACCCCATTTCTGCTCATTCTTTTTTTATATTTCCAGACCACACGAAGCCTTTCTAGACGCAATATCTTGGTTTCCTTTAGTCTACTGGATGCAAGGATCCATTGACAAGTAATTCACTTTTTATTCCATAATATGCCTTTCTTTATTCTTCAGAGAAAGTTATCTTTTAAATTTTATTTTGTAATAGCAAGCCACTGATTCTATACCGAATCGAATAATGCATTAAATTAAAATTACCACCAACGTACCTGTGTCCTATCCAATGTCCAACCCTTGTTTTCAATCCTCCAATGTTCTCTCTCCAATAATTGTTTTTATGTGTCAGCATTGATGTTGACTTCTCGAGCGCACTGAGAAAACTACAATTTTTTGACTGTTCAATGATCATTCTCATTATTTTTGATTACTTTCATTTTGTAAATCATTACTTCTAAACGTAAACTTTATGTCTTCAATCCATACACTTTTTGAAGGCTCTTCGCCCTTATATTTTTTTTTTTTTTGGCTACTTTTTTTCTTAACCTTTTTGAATCATATTTACCAAGATGCTGATGTAAATGATGCTAATGCTGTAAATAATACCTAAAGTAATAATAAAACATAAGTGAAGTAGTCAATTCACATTCATCTCATAATATCTGTAAACTTAAAACTAACATGAAACTAATTCGCAGAATGCAAATCATAAGATTAGAACATAATAAGGCTTATAATATCCTATTAATTGTATTATTAGAATCTTAAATTCCACAATTTTAAACATATAAAAATAACCTCTTACCCCTTTCCCAAGGTAAAAGTTTTAAAACTTAGGATTCCATTTTAAATTGCTTTACAAATTGTTGCCATCCATAGTTTCCAAACAAAGAATAATTAAATTAAATATTTTGATATTTTACAATATTTTCAAATACTGAGTCAGTACTTTTGGTATTAACAGTTCGTACAGTTCGTATAAACGTTTTGAATAAACCTGCCAGAAGATCAAAAGAATCAACTAAAAATTTAGAACCTTTTTTACAACTCCAAGCAGTAACAATTTTTACAGGTATCTTCAGCAATTTACATCCCAAATATAACGCATATTAATTGCACGTTCGGGTATTTTCATCATCAGGATACCTTCGTCAATTTATATCCCAAATATAAATAATAGAGTTATAATGTTCCTAACTACTTTGTGGGAAACAATAATTTAAAGGAAAGGGTTTCAAAATTAAAAATAACTGAAACTCTAAACTTTAATATCTATCAGCTGACTGCACCCACGTCACACAATTTTTTTCCCTCTTTTCTTATATAAGTTTAGCACAGATTTTTATTTAACATAATATAATAGTTATTTGTATTTAATGGAAAATTTACTTTTAATATTTTAAACTAACATACTGCAAAAAATCATAGTCGTATAAAAGTTTTATTACTAATAGCCATAGAAATATCAATTAAATATTAAAATTATAAAAATAAAATTGAAATTCATGTAATAAAGTAAACTAAATATTACTTATTTGCAGGTACAAAAGTGTATGTACTGTTAACAATCCGCAGCAATATGGCTGCTTTAGGAGTCGATACGATTGTTTCGCAGTAGCTTGTTTTTTACACTAATGAACCACCGAATCGTCATACAAATTTTGCTGCATTGTTTTATTCATTTAGATTGTGCATCCGGCCCACGAGCAACTTGAATTTCAGACCACTCCGTTAGATTATTACGTATTAATATAGCTAATTTCTTTAGGATCACATATGTGGACCATGCTAGAGTAAATCTTATAGCTTCTTGATTGCTAACTTTGCTCAATACTAAAGTGCTCATGATATTTATATTTTTCATAAATTAAATTTTGAAATTTTGATATTTCTCGACAGCCTGGACGATCTCCTCCGATCAGGCATTAACTTGGCTGACAGCGTGGTGGTCGTCAACAAGGAATCTACAAACTCGGCCGAAGAAGATTTCTTAGCGGATTGCAATACCATCGTTGCCGTTCAAACTATGTTTAAGTGAGCCAGATTTATTCTTATCTTTCTGACGTTATTTATATTTCGGAAAAGTAATTCACTTAAGTAATCATTTTGCAAACCTAAGTTACTTTGAAGAAAAAGTTTGTTTATCATTCACTTATAATTTACTTAAATAATCACTTATAATTCACTTGAATAATCATTTTATAAACATACATTGCATTGAAAGTAAGACTTTTATTATTCATTCAAATAATCTCTTATAATTCTCTTTAATAATCTTTTACAAACCTAAATTGCTTTGAAGTAGAGTTTTTTATAGTATACGTGTTAACGGAGGAAAAGCCAAAATTCACCTAAAGCGAGTGAATAGATGCCAGCTTTGGCACCACCACACAAATTAATCGCTGTTGCAACCATATGATGTCGCTACGTTTTATGAACGCCTATAAAGCAACAGATTTGAAAACGGAAAGGTTTTTCTGCCCTCCCGAGTTTATAGTTCGCTCGTGTGTCTATGGGGTCTGTGAGAATAAGTAGACTATTCCGACTCCTGGGCGGCCTATAAAACGAAAGATTTCAAAAAGCTGGTTTAGTTTTCCAAAGTGAACCACAAATTCAGTTTTGTGAATTCACATTCCGGAATTTATACGCAAATATTGGGGATGGGGTTCATATATGGAATATGATTCGAATATGGAACGTAATTCGACAATAGCGTAAATAACATGATGCTACATAATTCTAAAAATGCAGTTCTGCGTCCAAGTTAGCGTACGAAGAAAAACAACATGATCGTGATTTTCGTCTTGCTAGCCCTCGTGCTCTGTTTTGCTTCAGAAATGTAGACATCTTCCATTTTTGAAAACTGGCTGTTGTCTCCAGATCCTAGCCGAAACTCCACGTTTTTTTCTGCAACGCTATTTGCTCAAAATACTACGAATGGTTGAAACGTGATTTAAGTCCTTTTCTTGACAACATGAAATGATGTCACTTCATACATTTCTCTTATATGCAGTAAACTAACGCCTTGTAATACTAAAAGATTTATTAAGTTATTCTCTAATGAAATATTCATTTAATTAAACCAAAAGAAAATATCTTAAACTTCCAAACTAAGATTCAGCTTAGCAACTTATTTATTTTTTGATAAAATCTGGCTGTTCTATAACACATCGAATGTAACTCCCGAAATAAAACAAAACTATGAACTATTTTAGATATCCAATCCGATTTTTAATGCCTACATTGTATTAAGTATTATGACTATGTGATTATATTCTGACCAACAGTGTACGATTCCTGATGATTACACTTAAAATATTATAACAAATAACGGTTACTAATGTAACCTTTATTTCTGATAACTGAAGGAAACTTCTTACAAATGAAGGAAAATCTTATGAAAGTGACAAGAGTAATTAAATTCAGATTGTGTTTAGTATTTTTTCATTTTCAAAGATTTATAAATTTTAATTACGCATTAATATTTTAATTTTGTCATAAAAGCAATCTATATGAAAGTAAAAATTAAACTTTTGTCGCGTAACCTTTGGAATTTATAGGGAGTAATAATAAATTTGATAAGGGATAGGCGTAAAAGCTTATGCTTCTTCATAAGCATTTCACTTAAATTATAAAAGAAGAAAAAATGAGTACTTACGTATTAACTGCAACTACCCTGGCATAGTTTGGAGATAATTTACAAACGAAAACGTAAGAGTTACTTGTGGGAGCAAGATAACGATTTTCGCGACTTTATTTTAGGATTCTCAAACTATCTACATTTACCTTAACTTCACAAACTTCATCAGCATATAAAAGGAAAATCTACTACAGAAATTTAAAACACGAATTTTAATTATTACATAGGGATTATATGATATATGAAACATTAAAAAATAAAACACATTCTTCAGGAGATTTTTCAGCAAATTTTTTGCACTGTGCTTTTTTATGTAAAATATGCGAGTGTGATGCAATCTGCACTGTAAAAAAAAATCTGTAAAGTTACTAAGAAAACTCATGGAAACTGGGATGCCATGGGTTATTTGAGTAACAGAAACAGGTGTTTTCTTTGTAACATTACAAGAGTTTTGCCTGTAATGGTTACAGATCTTTTCTTGTAATATCACAGCATATAGTTATGTAAGTAGAACATATTTTTCTCATGTAAATTCCCAAACGATATATCTGTAATGGTTACAGATTATTTGTGTGTAATATTACAGCAAATATTATGTAGAAAGAACATGTTTTTCTCATGTAAATCTCAACAGATATATCTGTAAACCGTTAACAGGTTTTTACTTGTATTATTATAGCAAGTTATTATGTGAGTAGAAGATACTTTTCTTACGTAAAATTCCAATGGTTGTATCTGTAAAGGTTTCAGATTATTTCCTTCTAATATCCCATTAAGTAATTATGTGTATAGAATATATTTTTCATAGATAATACTAAAGGATATGTCTATAAAAGTAATAGATTTTTTTGTTTAAAATGATGCTTATTATAATAAAATATATTGAAATCAAGATGTTTTGAGTAAAACAATATCTTCATGTGTATATCATTATACAGATATATGCAAGTGAAGCATAATAGTTTGGCTTTTTAAATTAGTCAATTTGACCTCAGAATTGCATTAATTTAAAAAAAGATGTGCTTTCAACAGCAATTAATTCTTTTTTCAAAAAGTAACATTAGTCTGTTGCAGAGTATTTTTGTTTTATGAAGAGAAAACTTATGTCTGATATTATTGAAAGGCCTTTCATATTATCATTTTGATTAATTTAAAAGTTCAAATTGATATGCTACTTCTTATATTTGCCCTGTAAAATAGCTGAAAAAAATAGTATGTTTTATTTGCATGTTAGTGTCAGTTAATAAGATATGTTCTAGAACTTTCTTTTTAGTAATTTTAGCTAAAATAGACACATGTTGCTTTAGATTTAACTTATATGAGTAAACGTGTTGCATGTTGATATGATCATATTATTACAGTAAAAGACATTTTGTGAAATATTTCTATGAAGAACTCAGAACAGCTGTTCTTCATATTTCAAAAAATATATTCTCTCCTTCTAAAAAATTACATTTCAGTAAATTAAAGAATTCAACATAGCAATGAACTTCATTTTGTTACTACTACAAGGAATTCAAATTTTGTTCATACGCTTGAATTACAACGTCCGTTCTAATTTTTTTTATTCTTATCTGCACTCAGTGTTTGTCAACAGTCTGCTATTGTTTGAAATAATGCATAACTTTTTTACTTACCTTCAAATAATTTCCTTTGCATTAACAGATAGAAGTCTTTCATTAAAAACCTAATGTCATGCTTTTTGAATAAGCATAAAACTTTGCCAACTGACCTTAATTTTTAAAGCCTTGTTTCCCTTAAAATTCTTAATACAATTATGCCTTTAAGAAATTTATTTCTAAAATTAATACTTCAGTTTAGCTTAAAATTTAATGTATTTTAATTTTACCTATAATTTTTTTACAAACATAATATGTAATAAATCTAAGCTTAATATTTACCATTTCGAAAGTGATACTAAAAAAGTATTCCTAGATATTTTAAATTTCGAGATTCGCATACAAAATTGTGAAATAAACATGTGACAACAGAAAACAAACTTTATGCTCTCTCTATATTACAGCATGTTAATTAAGAAGTTTATTGAATTTAATAATTTTATTGTGAAACACTATGAAGCAAATAATATGCTAATTAAAATACAGAAGTAAAAATAATTTATTACTTAATTCATAAACTTTACATAAAACCTGAAAAAAAGAATTAATTAAAAATAACATAATTTAATAAACATTTCATAAAAATTCATTTCGACTGCTTGGGAAAAAATGAATGGTTTTTCTCCTCTTTGTAAACCATGTCTCCTAAATAAAGAAAAAAAATTTCTTTTAAAATCATAATCATGCTCTTAAAAAGCTTATAAAAATTATTTTAATAGATGTTTTAAACATGTGCTTATATAACACTTTAATCATATTTTCTTTATAATATCTTAATTAATTAAGAACAGCTTAAATTCTTTAAAAAATTGGATTACAGTGAACCGTCTCATTACGACAAGCTACCTCAGTCAATCACTTTTTAAATTTAATCAGCATTCCTCATAAAATAACTAATTAGTAAACATAACTTCGCTAGGATGCCCACTATCATTTAAAGATCAAAATTTTCAGGAATCACGTAGCTTAGAGAAGGTTCATTGTACAAAAACAGCCAATATTCAAATATTTTCATAAATGAAGCCACCATAGTTATTAATATAATATACAGTATACTTATATTCAGAATTCAGAACTTGAATAAATTTCTCGAACTGTTTTAGCATTCGAAAAATATTATATTTATTACCTTAAATTTCTAAAACAATATTACATATTCGTCCAAAGGAATCACTGGGACCTCGGACAACATTTTCCCCCTAGCTTTCTTTTAGCACAGGATTCTGAATATGTTTTAAATGATTTAGGTAATGTTTGTCTTCCTTAAGGCGCTCACAAATCAAGTTACTCTAAATTTTCGTCTGTATAGTGGTGGTTTTCATCTTACTAACTGATTTGCTAGTGGATTTTGGGATGCATGGCCTATCATTGATGAAACAATAATAGTGAACAGCTTCAAGAAAATTGGGGATATCTAATGCTCTTGATGCCATATTCCCACTTATTTTTTACTAATTTTATCTTCCGAAAATTAAGAGAGGGAAAATTAAAACGAATAATTTAATTTCCAAAGGACACATCATCACAGTAGGAATATAACAAATGAAAAAGTAATCATGGATAAACTACTACTACTCTCACAATATTATTTAATTTAAAAGAAACCTCTATTTCAATAAGAATACACATAATAGCAACATCTAATAAGTTATCTCATAAGTTCTTTTTCTACTTCTTATAATTTGAACTTCTGTCATTCTCATTGTTGTTCTTGCAAATCCTTAGGCCTCAGATCATACATAAATAATTAGAGAAGGTTGTGGTCCGATGCTTGCTAGGGTGAACATTCAGCTGATATGGCAAAATTGCACAGTGAATGGCAGTTGGTATTTGCTTTCACTATCATAGATCATTTTTTTGTATTAGGCTGACATAATATTCAACAGTTAGAAGAGAAAGATTCAACGGGGCCTTTAAGTGTGCAAAAGTTTGCCTTTGTTAGTATGACGAAAACAATCATTATGTTGATAAATCCATTTTAAAATCTTGGGATATTCATTTTCTGAATGCATTAAAAGAGGGAGAAAATTATGCAAATACTTTTTTTAATTTTCAGAATCTGGTTGGTTCTAAAGCTGGGTGGGGTGGAATATGCAACGCAATACGGTAATTCTGAAGATCATTGCTCGTGGCAGGTACAAACTAAACGGTGATAACTTGCATGCTGTAGAAGAAGACACAAATTGCAGTTCCAGATGCATTAAATGCTTTGAGGTCTAGGGAGTAGCAAAGTGGGCAATAACTAAGAGTGCAAAATTCAAGGTATAGGGAAGTAGGAATGAGGAAATTACTATTATTATCAGATAACTTAAATGGTTAATATTACTAAGCATTCTTATTGGAATGTAGGTTTCTTTTAAATAATAATACTATGATAGTTACCAGTAGTTCATTCATGAATATTTTTGATTGGTTTATGATCTTATTGTAATCACATCCTTCAAAATTAAATTGATTGCTTAATTTTCCCCCTTGATTTTCATACTACAATATATAAAAGGAGGGGAAAATAGTCTGGAAAGTAAACATAACTCCTCTTTCTCTCTCTATATATAGACATGTATCTTCGTGTGCAATTAAGCAAAACAAATTTGACTTTTTCTTCTTTAAAAAAATTGTGTAAATAAAATAGAATTAAGTTCATTTCAAAGACTTATGACACATGAAATATACATGATCAAAATAAATTAGAAAATTAAGTTCAAATAAATTTTAAGCTAAATTACGTGTTTAAGTTGCAATAATTCAGTTGTATTAATACTAACAAAACCAAACATCATATTCCATTCTGCAAAGTATAAAATTCTTCTGCAAAACTGCAAAATTTACCAATACTTTGGCTTATTTGATAACTTTAAAAGTCACTCCTTTGTTTGCATTTAGAATTTATAACTTTAATTTTTCACAGAAATTTGTTTTTGATTTTAAAAAATTTCACTGGCATAATTTTCATTCACTTCAGCATATATTAATAGATGCAGAAGGTTTTTGTACCTTACATAATTTTAAATCTTATGTAAACTAACGTAATTAATAACAAAATCAAAACATAGATCAGAAACAGCATAAAATTTAATTAATAATTACTACTAGTGTCACACAAAATGCTATGAAATTAATTAATAAAATAAGAATGAGATAAAATATATAGAATTAATATTCCACATGTGTGAAGTTTGGAAGTTTTACGTTAAATATTTTTTTTAATTAAGTATTTTTAAAAATGACCCCTTAAAGCATGGGACCTTTCGTAATTAGAACTTGCAAATCTGCTTCGCTAGTCTTTCATAACATTGCTTTTCTTTTATTAACAAGAAATATTGCATTCAGTTATTTAATTTAAGATATCAAAAATAATGCTACTGAAAGGCATGAATACTTACTTAAATTTGAAATTAATTTGGTTGACTTAAAATAATATTTAAAAAAAATAAATCTTCATATATAGGTCTAAAAATCAGTATTAATTTTCTTTTATTTGAACGACATCTGAATTCTGCCTTAGTTTGGACTAGTAAATCATTGGGCAATTAAATGCCAAGCTATAAGAGAACTAATGTAGTTTACAAATGCACTGAATTTTATTTCCGGTATTAACTTTCAAAGAAAGTAAACTTTTCTGCATATTTGCATCATTTGGATTGATAGAATATGGCAAAGCATGCAAAGGCTATCAGCCTAAAGGAAAAGTATATATTCATAGGCGGTTTTGTAAGGAAAAGTAGCTTGCATTTCCATTTATTCATGTGTATATATATATATATATTTACAATTGTTAATGCTAAAATCAATGCTTCATTAAAAATTCATTATTATTTTATTTTTAATACTAACATACAGATACAGAATTGTTTTAAATTCCAATAAACAATAATAATTTATTTTTAAGAAAACTTATTTTATGATTTTATATATTATATTACATGAATAAGAGAAACAAGAGAAACATTTGTCAAGAAATGTATTAAACTTGTATTAGCAGATTCATGCTATCCTAGTAACAAGACTATCATACTTCAAAACTGTATTAAAACTGGGCAAAATAAAATCAACATAAATTCTACATTAAATGTTTAAAAACTTATAAGTATGCAATGGTAGTTATATATACAATATAATATATGTTGTCATTTATAAAATATTAATGAAATGATATTTTTGGAAATAATGCACAAAATTTTAGTTTTGTTTTTATAATTAGTTTAACGAATTGTTAGAAAATATTTTTAGATCATTTCCATTTTTCCCCTGTTGATATTGGTATATTAAAATATATGGAATAATTAAGTTGCATCTAGTTAGTAAAACAAAACATTACGAAAAGTATGATACGGCATATTTTTAATCAATATAATAATTACTTCATTTTGGAATTATAATATTTTCGTAAGAAATTAATACCACTGAAAAAAAATATTATTACACTAAAGGAATAAACGAGATTCTCGACCGCGTTGTTCAAGTTTTTGTAATTTTACTTCATAACACACTCGTACATAAACATATTAGACTGAATTATAAACCAGGTATAACTAATTAGGATAATCCTAGAAAAAGAATAAACTAAACCTAGTAAGCAAAAAATATATACATTACATTCAGAATTCTAAATGTTTATATAAACGTTTCTCGCAAGGCCTGCCGGGAAAAAGATGTCAAACGTTCTTTGGTCAGACGATTGGAAAAGAACGCTAAAATGATTAGTTTTTGTTTTCAACAACCACATTACCATTTCAATTATATACCACAAACAGTGATTAAATTTTGGAATAATTAGTTTTAAATAATAATAAGGGCAATTTGAAGGCGTAATTTATCGGATGCACAATGACAAAATACTACTATTAGATCTGCATTTGGAATAAATATTTTGCACTCTTTCAACTCATTAGACATTACGAACACTGATATTAATTAATCGCAAAGCTTAAACGTTTAAATACTTACTCACTACATATAACAGTGCAAAGTGCATGAGAATAATCTGCACAAAATGAACAAAAAATATTTCAAGTAGTAATTGTAAACATTTTCTTACTTACCTGCGCTATACAACCAACATGCATTCAGCCATGTTTTTTTCTGCAACTAGCTTTCAAACACTTTTCTCCTGATTGGCTAATTTCCAGTCAGTCACGTGATTCTTCCGCGCGGCTACTGAAACATTAAAACATTATCTGTAATGTTACAAGCAAATCTGCTGTTACCGCTACAGTTTGCTTTCAACCTGTTACCATTACAGGAAATTCTTCTGTAACTTTTTGATTTCTGTAACTTTACAAAACTTTTGCCTGTAAAGAGCGAACTTTTTTTTTACAGTGTGCTTTCACTTAAAAAAGCATCAGAAATTTACATCATGATTTGTTAAAACAAAAGTAGGAATTTGAATGGTTGTGCACATGACTGCCATAATTTGGCACTTTCTGAAAATTTGGCGAATTCTACTAATGTGTTGCGATAATACGTAAGTACCATAACAAGTTTATTTTTAACATGAAAATCAAATTGTAAAATATTTCGACAATATTGAAACCTATGTTTGCTGCGTATTGTTTAAAAAAATAAAGAATATATTAATTATGTTTTTCTTTTACTTCTAGGATGTTTCCAAGTGTCAGAATAATTACAGAACTCAGCCAGTCCAGTAATATGAGATTCATGCAGTTTAGAGCAAATGACACGTATGCCTTACATCTCTCAAAAATGGAGAAGGTTTCGTATAAATATTTATCCTTTACTTATATAAATATGGTGCACTCCTCGATCTGTTGTGCTTCAAGGGGTTGGAGGGGAAAACAAAAAGTTTGATTCCCGTATTATAAAAATTGACCGAAATATGTAATTTCAAAATTGGCAATGTTTGATGTCATATTCAATTTGCATTCAGGGATCCGTTAATAAATAAATAAGAATAATTCGAAGTTGATTTTGTACCTTTTAAATGTCATATGATGATATTCTTTTGTAATTTACTAATGTCTTTATTTATAATTTTCTTACATTTGGTAAGCCGAAAGATTTTTCAGAAAGTAAATTTTCAGAGTCTAGAAATACGTTATTAATATTCTCAAGAAATTTGATTATTTTATTGTTTATTTATCGGAAATGTTGATTCAAACAAATGATAAACTATTTGTAATACAAACAAAAGCAGCTTAATCATTAGATAAAAAATACGCATATTAAATAAAAAAATACAGGTACCCAGGGTAGATCCAACAGCTTCTGACCTTACATATAAAAAAACTGAAATTCCTCTTGCAGACATGTAGTAACAATCCTAAGTGAATAAATCTGAAGCTATTATTTGAGGAACCGTATGCATTCTTTCTTGACGCAAAACTGCTTAGCAATAAATTCCACTAGGCTGGCTTAGCTTCATCTTTGAAAGCTAGGCTAGCTTCATCTTCATCCTTCAAGAAACCTCGATCCAAATGATCAATACTTCTTTGGGACAAAATATGTTTTGATTTATGAAATATAAATTAATGTTAATGGTTACATTAGTTATATTAAGATATTATAAGCATTTAAGTGAAATTTCAAGTAATCAAGAACGACGCAACGTGAGAGTCTCTACGTTTCTCCTGCGATCTGCAGCCATTCTGCCCCTCAGTTCATAGTTTAATGCATCTCTCATAATAATATCACAAATGAGACGTATTGAATCGCAGCATCCCCTTCATATTACTCTTTCAGAAGCATGCTCAATAAGCGATGAGAAAAGAGTATCTAGATACAAAGTGGTCATTTCAAAAGATGAAAAAATTTTTTCTCTATTTCTTTTTAGAAACATCTTAGGCCTTTTTTAAATTTCCGAACACAGAATTGGTTCTGAACTAGATTATTAAAGATTTTAAGCCAACAAGCATCAGAGTAGTAATCACTACATTTTCAGGAATAGCTTCGAATGTTTAAATATAGAACATTTTTCTTCAGAAGTGCAGATGAAGAAAGAGAACCTGTGCGCAGGAGATAAAAATGAAAGGAAGAAAGTCAAGCTACTAGCGACATCTGTTGGTGAAAATTGAAAGCATCATTAAAAGTTGAGGGAAAAGACGAACTGAAATTGCGATCGTTGACTAGTACTAAAAGATACTTCTTAAAATGAAACACCTCTAAAAAATCTAATTCTCAACAGGAAGGTATCCGTAGAAAAATGGAGAATGTGATTTTCTAACAAGAATGTTGGGCAATAGGAAATTTACGTATTTTGTTTTCCTAACATGTACACTGCTCAAAAAAAAATGGGACAGTCCTATATCTCCCGATCTACTGGGCCGATTGACAAAATTCAAATTGCGTTCTTCATGTCTCGAAAGCGCGACTTAGGATATATATTAGATTTATATATATAGCAATATATTATATAATATTAACTATTCTAACATAGGTATTTTGACACAAAATCGGACTTTTTCTGAAATAACATACCAATTTTTTTACATATTTCGATTCTACGACTCAAATTACGCCTAAATATGAAATTTTGTAAAATTTGGAGCGAAATTTACGGAGAAATTCACAAATTTATGTTGGCACTTTTTTGTCAGTTTGCGCCAAGAATACTTCACTTGGCGAACTTCTTAATATATGGCAACCTAGTTTCCTTTCCCGTGAGAGGAAAAAAAGTCACCATCGTTCCTTTTTTCCAAATAATATTCTTTATATTATATTTTTAATTATAACTTATTATTTTAAGTAATTTTTTCTTTTTCGAATTTCATTTTAATTGTTTTAAGTTGCACTTTTTTTTTTTTTTTTTTTTTCGAATAACTGTTTTTAAAAATTTCTATTTACCTATTCGAACTGCGTAAATAAAGGTGCAGCGTTTATTTTTTTTTTTCAAATAGTTTTCTTTATATATATTTTTCGTCATAGTTATTATTTAGGTAATTTTTAAATTTTTATACTTTTATTTTAATTGTTTGTGTTGCATTGTCTCTTCAGATAATTGTTTTAAAATTTTCTATTTATTCCTTCGAACTGAGCATTTTAAATATATTTATTAATATCAATTTTCCAGAATTTGATTTTATTTATTTGAACTGCGTTTCTTTCGGAAGAATACTTTGTAACCCAGACTACGATGAGTTTGAAAACTGCATACTATATTAAAAGAGAAAATACAGTAAAGCACAGTTAACACGCCTTTCAATGTTCCGTTCAGAAAAGATATATATAAATAAGAGAGATGTATAACCGACATTTTAACTTAGGATGACTTGCATACACTGCTTTAAACAGTTTTATCATTGTGCCCATTGCTTTACACAATTTTATCCTACATTTGGTTTCTTAAAATGTTATTCATATTTTAGTCAAATATTTTATTTTTGAAATCGCAAGAATCAAATATCATAACATTGAAAAGTTTTAAATTAAAAAAAAATACAAATACTAAATTTTACGAAAAAATTTATTTTTCTTCTCTTTTTCTTTAAGCATTCTGAAAGTATATTAAAAAGTATCCAACTTTTCGAAACATTTTGGTATTTCTGACAATCATTTTAAATAAAGTTATCGCCTTCCATTTCATAAAGGCCCACAAACGGCCGAGCGGTAAAGACGCTGATCACTGGTAGTTCGGTCCGAGGTTCGAATCCCGCGAACGGGCTGGTTGCATGGGTGTTTTCGTGGTTTTCCCGATGTGTAACGTGTATACGAGCCAGTTTCCCTTAGAAAGTCCTCCACGAAGGCATCCCTCCCTTTAGGCAGATAGCCCTCGTGTGCTTTGCCATAATTAAATAATCCAATCCAATCCAATCCTTAATTAAATATAATTGACTTGTAACTTCTACTAGAACTGACGTTAAGAATTGAAGTGCAAATAAATAATATCGTGTGCAATCTTGATTAATATAAAATTAAAAATATTTGCACAGAAAAATATTTGCATTCAGACAGAAAGTTTTTTTGAAATATTTGCAATTACTTTATAAGAAGGATTTATTAATAACCGTAATAATTACTTATTATATTACTGATGATTAGGAATCAGTTCTTCACAATTACATTCTAAATTAGAATTTTAAGAATTATTAGAATTTTAAATTAGAATAATGAAAATACGCTACGCACAAAAAATACATTTTAGGATAAAAAATGAGTTGATTTTTTATGTTTTAAAACTTCTTGAATTCATTTAATAAACATCGTATCCTCGTTGTTAATTGAATTCAGAATGTTGGGTGTCGTTTATATAATTATTCTTACTTGTCCACGGAATCTGCTGACTTATCCAGCGATTAAGTAGCTGCAGATCATTTCTACATAACCATTGAACTTCCATTAATTCAGTCTCTAGAGGGTTGTATATTTATATCATAATTTGACTTTTATAAAATGATTATTCTAAATCTTATGTTTCTATAAAAATATACTGTGCTTTAAAAATATGGATGATAGTACCAGCCGCTCTTTCAGCCACTTCAAAAGCATCAGTTTGTTTAGAAATAAATTGTGCAGTTAATGTCATAAAATTCAAATAAACATCAAACGAAAATTCTCAGTTTTAGACAATTCGATTTAAACGAAGTAAAGTAGCAGACGATAAAACGCCGAAGGTAAAAATTTACTCTTATTAAAAAAAAAAAAAAAAAAAAGATAGAGAGAAATTTTAAAAAAATATTAAAAAATTTATTTAAAAAAATAGCTTTTCATATAGTATTAATAAATATTTATTACGCATCATTGAGGGAAAAAATGTCATATAATTAATTCTCCGTAAAATTTTACTTGAAATTTAAGGTTAAAAATAGCTGTGGCAATACAGTGTGTAACAAAAATCCATAGACCACATTTGGCGTTATTATCGCTCAAAAAAAAGATGCCAAATTTCAAAACGCGAAAATATGTAAATTTGTGTATATCTTAGAAAATTTTGAATAAAAAAGTCTAATTTTTTGCAGATATGCTTAAAAATATACCTACTTTAAGATGATGGTAAAAAATTTTATAGGTTATAATTCAAAATTTTTTCGAAAAATTTATAAAAATTATTTAAAAATAGAAATTTAAAAAATAAAACACAAAAAATGGGTAAATTTTATTTGGAATGAACCTAAATTTCGAAATGTGAGAGAAAAAATCAAAAAAGTTTAATAAAAAAAGAGATATAAATAAATATTTGCCAAATTCAATTAACATTGAGGAGCTAAAATTTTTGAGAGCTAATATTTCAAAAACTACTCGTACGATTTTTACAAAACTTGGTATTCTGGCATAATTTGAGTCGTAGAATCGAAATATGTAAAAAAAATTGGTATGTGTTATTTCAGAAAAAAGTCCGATTTTGTGTCAAAATACCTATGTTAGAATAGTGCTATATATAAATCTAATATATATCCTAAGTCGCGCTTTCGAGACATGAAGAACGCAATTTGAATTTCGTGAATCGCCCCAGTAGAACGGGAGATATAGCACTGTCCTTTTTTTTTTTTTTTTTTTTTTTTTTTTTTTTTTTTTTATTATTATTATTTTTGAGCAGTGTACCTCATATTCCTTAGTGCCGAATTTTGACCAATAAATCAAACCACATAGGGAAAGAATTTAACATATATCTCATGATTTCATATGCTGAATGGGTTGTTTAAGTACGTACCTGCGAATTTCATTGATAGAAGGCAAAACAACCCGAACCTTGAATTTCTCTGACACACACTCGGTTTTTATCTGTAATCGATGGAAAGAAAGGAATGATAGCAAGAAATTTTATAATCTTCTACCGAGAGAGTTTTCTACAAATTTATGAATATTACGCTAATTCATGCTGCCTTAACACCTCCAATAATCTTTATTCTATGTGTTACTTTAAATCAGATCAGAATTAGATACAGTCAAAAGTCGTTAATTCGGACACCCATAATCCGGAATGATCTATAATCCGTACCTCAAAGCTAAAAACTTTCTGCGCATGCGCCGCATTGGCACATGCGCACAGGCATTTTACGCTAGCGCGTAAGACCTTGACTACTGCGCATATGCGTGTGCGCAAGTGCAGAATACGTTTTCGCCTGCGCGTTTAATGTATAACGGACGGTGTAAGCTAAAATTATCTTATTATCTATTTCAGTTAATGTTAATGATTGCGTTGTTCCTTAATCTTCGAATTGGATCCCGCTTATCATTTTTTGCAGACTGTAAGAGCAATTTTATAAAAGTAAACTTGAACTTTCGATTATGTCAAATAGAACCGATGCTGGAACTTCCAAAGGATCTACAAAACGAAAGTATGTTTCGATGTCCAACAAACAAAAAGTGGAATTGCTGCAAAAAATGGATAAAGACATGAAGAATGTGACAGAGAGGTTAGTGAAAACGAAAAAATTTCGATTGACAAGTTAGTCGGTCTTCTCGGCACAGCAATTAACGGGACTTGAACAGCGGAACTTTGTAACTGAACAAGAAATTATGTCTGTTTATAGAATTAAAGAGAAAGTATTATCACATAAAACGAAGCAACTTAAACAACTTACATTGAAAGAAATGTTTAATAAAGTAAACAAATAAATATTAAGCTTTTTTTTTGTAAATTTTGATACCCTTTAGATCATAATTGTTCTTTATTTCATAAATTACGGTTTCATATTTTTAATTTTAAAATTTCTGCATGCCATCTTACGAGATTTAAACTAATGATCTATAATCCGGAAAAATCAATAATCCGGATTCGCCGAAGTCCCGGCGAGTCCGGATTAACAACTTTTGACTGTATTTTACGAATTTTGTGCTTTTGTAAAAATTTTAGTGAAGTAATATGTAAAATTGTAGTATCTCTTGTATTTGTATAATATACGAAAAGTCTTAATAGAATGAAGCTTCGCTAAAATAAGGTTACAGGAGTAATATTAAGGTAAATGGCTATCTCGCCAAATTGGCGAAATAGCGCCGCGTTGGCTATGGTTTTGGCGGCAACTTTTTGTCGCCACAGTTCTCGGATGTTAAAAGGCTGTCTTATCTTGCCTTTTTGGAATCTCCAGCAGAAATAAGGTAAATTTTGTCCGTGCAGTACTTCATCGATGGTATCCGGGATTTTTGAGATATAAAAAGGCCCGTAGCAGATGTCAAGGATCTAAAAAAGGATTCGTGTAAGTTATGAAGTTCAAGGCAGCCCAGCAAGTACCTCGTAGAAACCGCTATCCAATCAAAGCTGTTTATGTCCAAGAGGCATTACATCAAGTGACTGGGCTAATCTAGACGACCTAGCCAAGTAAGTCAGTGCCTTCAAGCGGAATAGAAGCGGAAGCAAACCTACCGTAAAGTGCTGGAACTAAACTGTGGTGGGGAAGACCATATGCAAAGGAATTACAGAGCACCCAGATCACTGGAAACAAGACCGCTACCCAGAAAGGAATCAGGGAACAAATTAGTGGCCATCTTGCAGAGCGGAGGTTGCCATATATTGAGAAGCCCCATTTTAAAGCGCTTCAGATATCTGCAATGAGCGGCGGCAGTAATGGACTTTTTATTATAGGATATATAATAACCTTACAACATCACTATCGATAAAGGAGCCAATGTTACCATCACAGCAAAAGATATGGCTCAAGAATTAGCAGGTAAATCTGGACTCCGCCCATCATTACCCTCGAGACTGTGTCTGGGGATAAAATCGCCATCGATGGAAAATTAAGTGTTAACATCACGTTTGGAAAGGCATCTATATTCACACGGCATGCGTGGCAAATATTACAGGCATTTAATAAACTCTAATTAGTTTTTTAAAGGAGTACAGTTTTTCCTTGGACTTTAAAAATAACAAACGGCATTCTGCCTCTGAGAACATAAGTGTGTTCGGAATTAAAAGTAAAGGAGCTAAATCCGTACACTAAATAATAGCTCAAGACGATCACAGTACTAGCAGGAACAGAATACTTACTATCTGGATCCACAGCTGAGAACAGAAATTTCCGGTATGCATAATCGAATATCCTAACAAATATAACAGCCCGAAAGAGTACTAATAGCCTCAGTTCTTGTCGATCTATCAAGGATACCCATCCTAGTGAGAGTTGCCAACGTCAGTGATAAAGCGAAAATCATTAGCAAAGGCGAAGTGGTGCAGCATATACTCCAGCGATCTGCGTTAAACAAACCAGTAGTCCTCGAGTTTCTGCGTTTTCAGAGATCCTAACAGAAGAATTACTGCAGAATGCACTTCTATGCCATGAAAAGACGAGTGCTGCAGAATGTGTAATTCAAGAATTTTAAGATGTTTTCATCCGCAAATCTTCTGACGTAGGTCAAACTAGTTTGCAACAGCATAGAATTGATACGGGGAATCATCCACCAATCAAGCACTATCTTAAACGTCTACCGATTGCTAAACAGGAAGAGGCTCGAAAACTTCTAAAGGATATGCAAGAAAGTCATCAAGCTTCAGCAAGTCCATAGGCATCTTCCATCGTCCTAGTCAGAAAGATGGTTTGATTAGATTTTGTATTGACTATACGTGGTTGAGCGAGGATACGAAAAAAGACAACTATCCTCTTCCTAGAATTGAGACATTCTGGACACTTTCTGGAAGCAAGTGATGTAGAGGTACATTTTGATGACCGAGAAAAGACGGCTTTTACTACCGGACAAGGATTTTGGCAGTTCAAGGTGATGCAGTTTGGATTATGTAATGCGCTGTCAGCATTCGAATGCCACATGGAGATCGCGCTGAAAGTTCCCTATGAAACCTGAGTGACATTCCTGGATGACATCATCATCGTCGGGAAAGATTTTGAAGAGCATTTGAAAAACATTAGGAAAGTGCTGCAACGTTATAGTGAACCAGTAAAAGTGCCTTTTAAATGCATCGTCTTCGACGTCTTGGGACCTCTGCTTCTGCTGACGGCAAGAAATAATTCTCACTGTCATCTATTGCTCTACAAAGTAGCTTAAAGTGGATCCTATCCCTGATCAAGAGGCTGTCACTCTAGGTAATGCTACAGCATTGGATTTCCGGGTTTGGAGTGCCTCATTGTTTACATTCTGATCAAGAAAGGAATTTTATTTGGGCTGTAATTAAAGAACTCTCTAAAGTACTCGGCATAGACGCCGCTTTTACATCTGCAGTCAGATGGTATGGTAAGGAGGTTTAATCAAACCATCCTTAACAACTTCTCGCTGATGATTTCCAGAAACCAACAAGAGTGGACCAGAAATTACCTCTGTTCTTACTGGCCTACCGCAGTTCTATCCACGAGACTACCTGCTATTCCCTGTCCATCTGCCTTGTGATGTCTTATCTGGTCGCCCTTCGTATGCTCATTCATGGCCTGAAGAGTGTATTCAAAGTCTCTAGTCACGGTTTAAAGTTCTGCACAATTTTGCTCGATAGCGAATCATTCTGGTGATGAATACTCGTTACGACACAAGAGCTACAGGACATCGATTCAACCAAAGTGACAAGGTGCTGATATGGAATTCAGTTCGACGGAAAGAATTTTCTCCTAAAGGACGGTCCTTTCCCAATCCTAAATAGGCTGAAAGCGCCGTAGTTCGGATCCTGAAGTCATAATATTCTAACGTTGATCATTCGACAGGCTAGCTCCTTACTATGGCCATAAGTACGTAGTCCCCGTAGTGTACGTAGTGTAGTAAATAGTATACTAAGATCATGGTCTTGTGTGTATATATGCTTTTTAATTCGTGCTTTTATTTATTTAGTATTTAATTTCTTTATATTATTTATTGAAGTTATAATTTTTGTACTGTATTGATTTTCCTTTTGTAAATATGGCTTTCTGTCCGGGACTTGTAGTCCTTGACGAATATTCGTAGTCCTTCAATATTTAATAATAATAATTATTACGAATTTTGTATATATATAAATACTTTTAGGAAATTATATATAAAATAATTGTGTCAACTCTTGTAAATTAAAAGGCTCAAGAGAGTGAAGCTACAGGGGAAAAATCAGGTTACTGGGGCAAGTCCATTTAACACTGATGTAAATGGCTCTCGCCCCAAGCTGGCGGTGTTTCTGGTGACTATATTTTGTCACCGATTTCTGTGTAATGGCGATGTTTAATTTAATGATCCTATCAAAATGGAACTGTATATCCGGCCCTATATAATTGTAATTGTGTATACCTTCCAGCGATTTCAAGAAATCAAAGGCAGTGGAAGTTTCTCGGCTGCCGGAAAGCTATATAAAACCGGAGAAAACATCTGTCATCAGTTTTTTGTTAATAATTCGGAGTACTGGGAGATCTCCGTACTAGCTTTACTCTTTAGATGCTCTTTGCATTGCGTTGTGTTTAACTTTCTAAGTAGATTGAAATGATAACTAAAGATTGTGCTCTGTCATACTGAGAAGAGCTGTCTGAGTTCTTTTTTGGAAAGTTCCAAAAACTGTAAACCATTCAATCCATTACGAACCCGTACGCACGTAACAATGTTAATATAGCATTTTAATATAATTTTTACGTTATCAATAATGCCATGTTGCAAAATATCTATGAGCATTTGCTGTTAATTTCCTAATGAGATCTGTATATTTTTTGTTCAGTGTCATAAATATTAAGTAAGATTCCTTTTCCACAGAGTGAACGTGAAAGAGGCTCTCACATTTCATACATGTTTCGGCTGCCCTTCGCAGCGGGAAGTGTTTTCAGTGCCAGCATGTTGGACACACTATTATATCAAGTACGCTATTAATATGTTTCTTGCGTATGATGTTTTAAGACAAGTCAAGGTCTACAATTTTTCATGTGCAAAACTGTTAATATTCTGCAATGTATTTCACAGGCTTTCGTGAAGGATTACATGATAACGTTCGTCAGGTTGTTGCTGGGAATTGATCAAGCTCCAGGCTCCGGTTTCCTGTCTTCGGTAAGTTGTATTTGAAATAAACCTTCCTTTTCTTTTAATAAGCTTTTACTTAGACCAATCGGGGTATTTCAATTGTGGATAGAACTCTGTCGTCGATTTTTAATCTACTTCCTGATAAGCCATCGAGTTCAAACTTCGGTTTGGTTTTGTTTATTTAATTACGGCAAAGCATTCGAGGGATATCTATCTATCTAAGGGGAGGGATGCCTTCGTGAAGGACTTTCTAAAAGTCAAATTTTGTACACACTCTCTTTGTCGATAACCATTCAGTGTAGTGGGGGGATATTTCAAAACACGATTTAGAATTTTTAATTTGACACTTAAACGATTTTTTGCACATATCTCCCTCAGAATTTTATTTTTTGCATCATCCAATACAGCGAGAAAAATACTTTCAATGAAAATTATATTAATTTCTGAATTTTTGACAAATTTTTAAAATCCCTACACTTTTAAGACTATTTGGCGTTTATTATTTTAAAGTTTTCACATCTGAAAATGCATCGGATATAAAGTTTTCAAATATTCCTAGATTATAAAACCAACGTTGCGCGATCTTTTAAAAGAAAATGATTTAAAACAATGTTAACTGAGCGATTTTCTACATTTTAAGAAAAACAATCATGTTGTAGTCGGAAGCAGAAGGGAGGGAAAATGTTTCTTGCGAGAAAATTGCTTTTGAGTTTAACATTTTGACGCATTTAATACCGAACTGGCGATATTTGTTTTAGCATCAATAAATTGCTCGTTAAATAACATTTTTATTACATCCAGTTTCCAAAATTGAATATTCAAAGCGATTTTTTCATTCTCCGAATGATATTCAGTTACTTTTCTTTATTTCAAGCAATAAATTAAAAGAAAATTTCATAATTTTCTTTTAATTTATTGCTTGTGTCTTAATGAATAAAAATTTCATCGTTGATAGCATATAACTGAACCCAAAAAACAGAAAATAAAATGCAATGAAAATAAGTTTTTTATACAGTAAGTTTAACACTTAAAATGGATATGATAATTAATGTATTAAAGGGGAGAAATAACTTATAATGTAGTTTAATGGAAATAATAGATTAAATAATTGTACTGACAGAATTCATCTACAATTTTATATTGCAAATCATAAAAGCGTGAAGCGCCCACGATCAGTTAAAAAAGATAATAGCTTATACATTTGACAGTGCAATTTAATAGATTTCGAAATTTAGGCACCCCACGCTTAATTACAACATAAAATTGTAGATAAATTCCGCCAATAGAATTATTTAATCTATTATTTCCATTAAATTATACGATAAGCTATTTTTCTCTTTTTCAGTGCATTAATTATCATATCCATTTTAAGTAAAAGCTTATTGTATCAAAATCATTTTAATTGTATTTTACAAATATGAATGCAACCTGATTTATGCATCTTTCGGTTAGATGAGAATAACGAAGGAAGACGAATGGATCCGGACCTATGGACGACTATACCAGAAACTATGCTCATCATCTTGTGAAATACCAATAGGCATATACAGAACTCAGATATCTGGTCCCTGCGAAGCATCAACGGTAAGTGTTATTGTTCGTAAATTGATTAAATAGTCTGATGTGGCCAGCACATGAGCTCCCAGCAATTCCGTGTTAAGACATGATATTGGTGGGATAGCAATTGATTTAACTAAACTGTCACGTCTCGTTGATCTAAATAAAATCTAACTAGCTAATAAAATTTACGGCTTGATACGTATGTTATTGGCGATGTATGAAAATTCGGGATTCTATAGAATACCTAGGTATCTTACAGAATGCCTGACGCTTTGTACTTTCCCTAGGCATTATTATTATTTTATTATATTATACTATTTCATCATCTTTACTAGCATGGCCACGAAGGCGTGAATTTTTTACGACACTTTTTGCATGTGTATCGCTAATTTCCTCTAAAGCACACAACAATGAGCAAAAACGGAAATCTCTTCGGTAAGCGTGCCATCATCATGTTGGTTTAATCCACCAGTCGACTGTAATCTCGTGATTCAAAACGAATGCGTGATATTCGAAACAAATCAAAGATATATTTCACGCTTTTCAGGTTTGTCACTTGGCATTCTATGGAAAATATGTCAAATAATATTAAATCGTTTCATATACTGCCAGTCAGTTTTCGGTATTGTATTAACTGCCGAGGTATTCTGTAGAATGCCGCGGTTTTCATACTCTGCCAGTAACATAACTAGGCATTTTTTATTACTTCATTCTCGCATAAAATGAATAGTGATAACTATACGTCATCATGAACTCCTCCATTCTCGTGTTTTGATTTGAAAATATCGCATGGATCATAGTGTATCCTCTGGTCATATAGTGATTCGGATTGAGGCTAATACAGATGTTTGATCTTTGATGTTACAGGAAAAAATAGTCTAAGCGGAGTGTATTTTTCACATGTGAATTGTCAAAGGAAATATTTGTGGATTACTAACGCTCTGCTTTTAAAGTTATTGCAAGTGATTATGTAAAAAGAATATTTATAATTTGTATATGAAAACTCAGAGAATATATTTGTAAAAACTGCAGGTAATTTACCTTGAGGTTATTTACGGTTCTTCCAATTAATTATGTACATAGAACATACTTGTCTTATGTGAATATATAAATTATTTATCTACATAGGGCCATGACTACCACTGGTCAACTCGGGCAGTGCCCCGCGAGTTTAGGGGGCCCCAACTAGAGAAGAAAAATAAATCGATTTATAACATTGAAGATTCCATTTTAAAACACTAAAAAAATTAAACTTCTATAACGATTCAGAAGACAAACAACAAAAATCAGCGTTATATTTACAAAATTTCCACAGGACTAGTTTCGATGGTTTTACCGAACCACCATCCTTCAAAACCGCAAATCAACGGAAATTTGTCATATAACGCTGATTTTTGGTGGAAATTTTGTAAATATCACGCTGATTTTTGTTGTTTGTCTTTTGACTGTGGAAATTTTGTAAATATAACACTGATTTTTGTTGTTTGTCTTCTGAATTAGTATTTATTCGGCGTGTTATTGTGTCTTAATTATTCTATAACGATATTTATTTTTTCATTTTTCAAGCAGAATTGTTGATAATCACAATTCAATTTCATCCAGATTTTCTTGATGTGTGCATAGCAACCATAATGTACATAATGTTACTGTGACTGTAGAGAAAGCCGAACAATCATTCTCAAATGTGAAATTATTAAAAAATAATATTTGCGAAACCTTGTGGAAAGGAAAAGGTCACCAGTTTACTCTCATTTGAGAATAATCGATCGCATATTTTAATAAAATAATTTGAGTTTTCTCTGCTAACAGTTAACAGGAAACAGATATTTTTGTACTCAAAGTGTAAAAATAAAGTATGCTGAATAATTTGCTCTTAATTATATCGTATGTGTTTTATATTTCGCTCTGTATGACGTCAAATAGCTTCGGATATTATATTCTTTTCGAAAATTAAACATGAATTAGGAATAACATATAATAACATACTCCACAGAGACAATTATCGAAAATATTATTTTCATTTAATTATTAATAAAATTATCAAAAATAACTACAAAAGACAGTATTTAAGCTTGAGAGAAACAAAAATACGGGGCGGCATTATCATCTGTTACCCCGATGTTCCCAAATTTCTTCTTACGACTGTATGTCTGCAAATATTATAATTATTTTGATTGCATTATTTATATAAAGAATTATACATATAGAACATGTCTATTGCATGTGAAACATCTACGGATGTTTGTTTTATCTATATAATATAATGTTATTAATAGTAATAAATTATGTATAATCAACAAATCTTACACAAAAGCGAAGAGAAACACACCGAAAATACACAAAATTAGACAGAGCAACAATCTTGTGTTTTGCGTAGACTTTTAATTAAGACTATCCATTTTGAGGGTGAACATTACAGGTCTCTCATCATCAGGAGCAAAGAAATTGAAACAAAGAAGGGAAGAGCCACGGCTGTATTTATACCAAAAGCAAAAGAATAAAGCGAACCATCTGTCCACAGAAATAGTAAAGAAACTAAGTTAATATAATTTTAAAAGCATTAGGAAAGACTAGATTGAGTTTAAAGACCTAAAACAAAATAATTGTTTAGAAATGTCAAAATCTTCAAGGAAATTTCAACAGCTAATTATATTGGAAATTTAATAACAGTTTTTTGGTTCTGCAAAAATTATACAAAAAGGCCTTTTCAATTAATAAATTAGTTTCCTCAAAGCTTAATGAAACTTTGGTTCTCTCATTCCCGATTTAATAATTCCAAAAAATAGACTACAATTTTAGAAAATAATGCAAAATGTGGCTGGTGAATTGAATTAAACATTGTCACAACTTCCGAAAGATGTGAATAACTCTATTTTTTAAGGATTAATTACAATCATTATTATATACAGTTATTAGTTTTTCGTTTAAAAATATTCATACTATAAAAGACAAATCGCCTGTGTGGCCTCAAGCTCATAAAAATTTATTTACTACTTTCTCTTTTCCTCAATAGCAAAATTTTCTATCACAAACGTTAACTTTTAATAAAGCTCCGTCTAACAGTTCAGTCAAAGAACTTCAATAGAATCACTGAATCTGATAAAACTCTTTGAATCCATGGTCATGGACACCATATGGTTCCCTAAAATATGCTTTATTGTGCGTCATAATTTCTTCAAGAAATAAGTGTTACGCCTGCTTCGAATAGGCTTTATTTAGAACACAGAGAAAGGTGACGTGCAATTCAACAGAACAGTAATGTGAACGTGTTTTCCGCTATTCCAACACAGATTATTTAAATAAAAATGCATTTCATTCATGACATATATAATTAACAACACTCAGTACCTTTACAGAAACACATTACATATTTTTTTCTCTTTTTAAATATACGAAAGGTATGTAAGGATCCTATATTAGTATAAATGCATATTTATTTAATATCCTAGTAAATTGTTTCGCTATTCCACCTGGACCATCTTTGTTGATAATCACTACTGATAAACCATTCTAAACTTTAAAAAAGTCTTTTTGGGGCAACCGTTAAAATCTGAACCCTTTGAGAATTTTTTTTTATATATCTGTTTATGAATTAGTTATAAATAATTTATAACATACCTATAATTAATTTATAAACAGACAAAAAAAATTATATTCTAATTTTATTTTATGTCTGTTTTCATAGTTCAGTGTTACTAAATTTCATATTTTATAACACAGATAAATTTCGTTGCCACAAACTGCTAATTAATATCGTGATATCTATTCTACAAGCTCTACATTTATAAAAGTTGTTTTTACTTCCTTGTACGAAATAAAAAGGAAGTATTGTAATCACGAAAACTTTCGGGTATCATAACCACCTGAATATGGGCATCTGGAAGCCCAAATTTGGAATTTTTTTTTACTATTTCATATTTTGTAACACTTTAAAGAATTTTTGATTAACAAACTCAACGATTTCAAAGCGAGCAATGGCAACACTGTACGGGGGGGGGCAAAAAAAATTATCTTCAGTGCGCGAGACTGTGTATCCGAAATTCTAAAGATATGTTCATTTTAAAATTATTTTGCGATATTGCTGTTTAACTCAATTTTGTGGTTTATGTGCGAAGAACACGATAATTAATAAATAAAGGTAACACACAAAGCGTTAAAAAACGCTCCTTTGGGCGTAATGTAAAATCTGAAAACTTTCAGATTTTTACATCCTTGTATGAAGAATCGCGAAAAGTTTCAGGCAGCATATTTCAACGAAAATATCCAATTTGACCGCTATCGAATGCAATTTAACGATGTTTTTACTTGACATATGTACTTAAGGTCAGAATAAAAGACTCTCTTCCTCCAAAAAAATTATAAAACTGCTTTAAAATGAATTCTGAAGAGAATTTTTCGTGACGTCTATACGTACGCACGTATCTCGCATAACTCAAAAATGAGTAGCCTAAGAACGTTGAAATTTTGTATACAGGACTGCTATAACATTTAGATGTGCACCTCGTATTTTGGTTGAAATCGATCGCACTAAACGTATATAAATATATTTATATCTACTCTGTTACCCATCCCAGTGATCTCAGTTTCTTATATGTTTGTAAATTGTGCATTTTTTTGCTTTACAAATAATTGAATTATGTTGTTCTTATCTTCCGGTTAGCATATTTCACAAGTGCACATCATCGTAGCCACTGAGGGAGGGGTTTCGAAAATGGACCAATGAGCTTTTATTATTTTTGTGACACTAAATCTTCGCGCATGTTGTTTACGTTTTAACTTGCATTTGTTTCGCAGTTAAAAATATATGGAGTAATAGTAAAAAATCTCACAGTGCTTTCGTTTTATTTTTAAATGAGTTTAATTTAATCGCTGACATTTCACTTCACTTTCGCGATTTTTATCTCGCATTAAATTTAGATTGATGTTCACGGCATATTATCGCTCTTTACATCGATAAAATGACTCAAGCTATAATTAGCTTCGAATATTACGCATTTACTAATACTGTGGATTAACAGAATTCAAGTGTATAGTTTTTTTGTTTTTTTTTTTTTTTTTTTTTTTTTTTTTTTTTAATTGAGCTGAGAAGGACGGAAAGTGTTCCAATGAATCTAGTGTTTTTCTTATTTCAGTGCTGACATTCTTTTGATTTTTAAGTGTAAGATTCAGAATATGTATTGTGTGTGATCTGATTATATCCATTATTAACATTAAAAGTTATATGTTAATAAGTTGAATATATTCGTTGTGAATAAAATAAATTCATTCTATTTGATGAGTATTTCTGGAGAAGACACTAATTTAAGAGTGAGCAGTTATTAAATGTGAAATTTAACACACTAAATGTATACGAATGCAAATTAGTAAATTTCACTTTGAATAAAATTCTGCATTGTCTATTATTATAGAACATCTTTTTCATATAGACTGCAATAAAAAGTGCTGACTTCTATTACATATATAATTGGTGTAAATATTTTTTTCTCATATGCATAGTTTTTTTTATGTAAGATAGCATTTTGGGCTCAGATATTATCACATATTCTTTTTCTTCTTCATCTTATTTACCCACATGTTAAGTAATATTTCACATCGATAATTTTTGCGGAGTACCCCAACGTGTGTTTTTATTTTGTTTCAAATCCTTTCAAACCAGGTAGTGAAATCTTCACATTTGCTTATATTTGATCCAACTTCGGAATGAACATTTTCAGAAGAAATGGACGATGCCTTTAATTATTTTGTACAGAAAATTGCGTTGCAAAATATTTTCAAACATCTTGCCTAAATATTAAAGCACGCGAAAGGTCATATGTCATGACAGAAATATTACTGCATATCGATTGGTCCATCCTAGAAGCCACTCCCTCGGTGGCTACCCAGATGTGCACTTGTGAAATATGCTTCCGGTTAAGGTTTTTATGCATTTAGTAAATCTGCATGCAAGATGTTTAGAGTTATCAACAATTTAAAAGTTGTTTAAGTGCAGCTAAGCCAAATTATTTTTGCGGTCGCGTCCATGTTTATTTACATTTGAAACTTGGCAGAATAACGGATTTGTTGCCAATCTAGAGAAACTAAGATAACAAAGATAACGCCTTTTTTATTATTGCGAATTAAATCATGCTTAATCCATTCTGGAATTTATTCGAGGAAAGTGTTTAAGATTTATTTCGCAATTTTTAATATAGATATTTTGAGTTTTTAATTAATTGAATGAGAAATACTGAATCGTCTGTGAAAAACTGTTTCTTTTTTATTTTGTTTGCTTAACTTCTTTGATACATCGTTCTAGATTTATTATAGTATTTGAATAGAATATGTGGCAACTATTAGATAATTCTTCAAATGATATAAATTTTGTGCATTCTGAGTTATAATATGACACAATGACTTAAAAATTAAGCCCAAGGATTCTGAAATTCTAAAAGCTTCTCATAACGTTTTTATGAAATGTGACAGTCATCCTAAGAGTATCATCAAAAAACTAGGAAATTATGATTTCACAATTGAACAACGCCACAAGAGGCCCCGCACTATCCACCATAATAGTCGGTGGTAATGTATATATTTTCGTTTTCTTCTTATTTAGCCAAGATTTTTACTTCATTTTTATTTACTTATAGATTTACTTATCAAATTACAATGCGCTATGGACTGGACTTTGTTCCTGCCAAGCAGGTGGACTTTTGTATGTAATAGTTTTTTTTACGCTTGTGAAACGTTTTTCAATGTACAGAAAATTGTGTTTTTCATCATTTCACTTACCAATTATTGCTTATCAGAAGAATAATTTTTATGAAATTTTAAAAATGCCTTACAATACATCCTGCAAGAGATGGTGCAACCAGAGCTCCAGTCAACTAAAATGCTTTTCATCCCTAGTAATAGATGGCGCCACACGACGCCTCATTTGTTCAAAGTTCACTTATTCTACGGACGGCGGCACAGGAGCCTCCGTCGCTAGTAATCTCTGAGTTCTAGCACAGCATGTGCACAAGTACTTCCATATTATTGGATATAACTTACTCGATTCCTCAAACATTTAAAAGTATAATATATTGGTAAAGGCCGTTAATGGTCGATTGCCTAAGTGATAAGACATAGACATAGTTATAATATGAACGAAATATAACGCTGTTAAGTGAACCTAGCGCGACAGAGTCGCCATAGAAACAAATATAGTGCATTTTAAAGAGTGCATTTATTCTATTGTGGTTTATGCACTATCGACGATGCAGATTTAATTTAATCCAATAAGTTTAAATGAAATGCAAGAAAAATTGCGTATAATTTAATATTCCGTACAAGGAAGTCATGTGGTGTATACATCAGATTTTTTATTATTATTATTATTTTAGTTATTCTTCTAACTTACGAAATCTTTGTTTATTATTATTCTTATCCAGGTGTCCTTAGTTCTAGCCGATAGCGAAAGAAACCGAATTACTTCCGATATCGAAAGACAAGAAATTAGTAACTTGGTTAAAAACCGAATGATGGATTTGAGGTTACCGACAGAAGATTACGGTAAGTAAATGCAAATTATTTTAACGTGATAACTACTTAAAAGTGTGGAATTACTCTTTTAAATAAATTGTCAAGTATCTAATATCAACCTTTTATGGTGATTTAAGTCTTTACTATAACTTATCCTTTCCTTATTGCTCACTAGAATGCAAATTACAGAGGGTATTTACACATTTTTAGAACGATTTCGGGGCCGTTTAATTAATGCTTAAAATGCAAAGATTTTTTTCTAATGTTCGATCTGATAACTTTTTTTTTTTTTTTTTTTTTTTTTTTTTTTTTTTTTTTTTTTTTTTTTTTTTTTTTTTTTTTTTTTTTTTTTTTTTTTTTTTTTTTTTTTTTTTTTTTTTTTAAGTCCAAAGGAGCGTCAGACTAGAAGGGCTGTTTGTTGAATTACTGTAAAATTGTGAACCACTTTCCAAAATGTTGCCACCAAATATTATCGCCCCGTATTATATTTAAGGATATTAAATAATGAACACACAAAACGTTAAAAAGAAAGCCCCTTTGGGCGTAATATAAAATTTCAAAGCTTTCAGGCTTTTTTAGCGCAAAGGACGTTAGCCAGAAAGGCTATTAATTTCATTTTGGCATTTTGTGTCGAAAATTTTAAAAGGCTGTATCACTTTCAAATTGTTGCCACCAAATATTAGAGCCCTGTATTATATTTAAAGAAATTTAATAAATAATCTGCATAAATGTATGTATGTTTCTCGCATTGTGATAAAACAACGGTACCTAGAGCCATCAAATTTTGAATAACATAGTCCTCTATTTGAATATGGACATCTGGAAGCCGGAATTTGGAATTTTTTTTATTATCTATTTCATATTTTGTAAAACTTTAATGAATTTTTGCTTAACAAACTCAACGATTTCAAAGCGAGCAATGCCAATACTTTATGGAAAAAAAAAAAAAAAAAACATTTTTATCTCCAGCGCGGGAGACAGTGTATCGGAAATTCTAAAGATATGCTCTTTTTAAAATTATTTTGCGATATTGCTGTTGAATTTAATTTTATGGTTTAAGTGCAAAGAACATGATATTTAATAAATAAAGGTAACTCAAAAAGCGTTAAAAAGCGCACCTTTGGGCGTAATGTAAAATCTGAAAGCCTTCATTTTTTTTTCAATAAGCCTGCATCGTCATGTCTATCATAGAAGGGATTTTTCCTAAAATTTCCAGGGGTATTTTTCCCGTTCCTCTTCCACTCCTTTCTAGAGTACACCTATGTGGTGGGTTTAGAAAGAGCTCTTTTCTAGAGACCAAAAGCACAATGGTCCATTAATTAACATTAGGTGGCTTCGCAGGAATACGTTGAAAAAGTATGTACGCAATACCTTCATTTCTTTCTAAGGAATGCAGAGGTACTTTTCGAAGTATGACTTGTTGCTGTGTCTTGATAAAGTTCACTCTTTGAAAGTCATTGGGATAAAGAAATTGTCGATTGAAAGCTGAGTCGATTTCAACATTTTTTCTTGCTCTTCTTATTTTCAATTTCCCTTTGTAACAAAATCTTGCGACAATCATAAACCCCTTACTGGAACTTTCTTTGCATTGACGGAACCAGGTTTGTACACCCCCCCTTCCATAGACCTTTTTTGTTGCAGTCATTTAGGTAAACTCATGCTTTATCAAGCGTCGCAATGTATTTCCATCATCTTCTTATACTAAATAGTAGTTTTCATACAGTTTTTCAGTTCTTCTTATACTAAATAGTAGTTTCTGCGTTGAGCAACATGTCTCGACAAAACTGGTGAATATTATGTTTTTTAGCGCGTAACCCTTGGTTTATTGTTTTATTTAGTGTTGTCACAGATATATTTAAAGACTGCTATTGATTTCTGAGTAGGTGGATTTCCAATCTTTACCAATGATTTAACTTTAGAAACATTAAGAATAGTACAGACCTTTTTCGGATATTCGTTTGGAGTCTTCTTTCTATGCAGAAGTAATGATTAACGGTTTTCTTCCTTTCCAACTAATACCTTTTGCTTATTTTGTTGTCAGGAATGTTAATACCCTGTATTCCACAACGTTTCTGAATTATGAAACAGGTATATTTCTTTTCGGAAAGCTCAAAAACATACCCTTCTATCCACAGCTTGTTTACATGCGACGTTTTGAAAGAAAAATAAATTTAAAAGTAGCAAACGATATTTCTCATTTCTAATAATCTAATAATTATAATTTCTAATAATTTCTTTTGACTGCTTTCCAGAAAGTTTTATTCCAAAACATTTTTCTTTTTTTAAATTCCTTATCGAAATCATTCTAAAAAGTGTAAACATCCTCTGTATATTTTGTGTACTTAAGGGTGAGAGTGTTTAATTTTTATTTTAGAGCTTCTGGCAACCGCTTCTTGCTGTTAGTATTCTCGCTAGCTGTGCTTAAAAGTTATATTATGGGTTTAGAATCTCGCTAGGCAATGCTTTAAAATACGCGCCGGTAAAGTATCTGAGCCAGCTTATTTTTTGTGTATTGAACGTATAGTGTTAGACAACTTTATCAACGTTTGAATTCAATTGTCGGTTACATTAATTTAAATATGCATAAGTAGTGGAAGTCTCGTCTGTCTTTGTCGAGTTGCACCTGTTCTGTAACACTAAGGCTAAACGAAAAAGGTTATTTTTAACCTTTTTTAGTATTATGTGAGTTGTTTAAGAAGACGTTGCGATAGCTCACTGTTAGTCTTGGTATTGTCTGATGGACAGTCTGCCTCCAATTATAACAGAAGCCCTACAAAATCAAAAGTTTTTTCAAATAAATGAAAATGAGATTTTGAAGTCGTACATTATGCTGTAGACGCCGCTTAATGTGATTACGGTTAACGTTATTATTCGTATATTGTTGTCCCGCCCGTTTGCATATGAAAACATGAAATGCATATGAAAATATATCTCTTGTTGTGATCCGGTTAATATGATCAAAATGTTGCAGAATAAAATTTTTAAACATAAGTCAAGTCTCGAAATAAGCTCAAAATCGAGTACAAAAAATTGTCAGGGGACAGAAATGTCACCAAGTAAAGGATTAAATTGTCAAGCAGCTTGGTTTTCATTTAAGTAAACATTTCAAATTAGTCAAAAAAAACAACCCTAGTTTGACTTAGATTTTCGATAACTATTGATTTTGAGAGCGATCAGACACAGGTCGTTATTCTTCAGGAGTAAAAAATACTTATGCAGAAGTTTTCTGAAAACATCTACGTCAAACTAAAGTTTTTTTTTTTTTTTTTTTTTTTTTTTTTTTTTTTTGAGTAATTTTAAATTTTATATTGACAAGTTCTTTTCCAATGAAGGATGCCGTGCGGTCAAATAATTTCCAGAACTGTTATAAACAAACTTTCAGTTTCCTAATTAAATTTCTTTAGTTATATTTATACTAAATTAGTTGAATTCCGTTTTTGTTATAAAGGATATCTTTCCCCATTGTTTAATTTCATCAAAATATCTGTGGACAAACCTGATCATCACATTAAGCTGCGCCTAATGTAGGTAATTAATTTAGTCACTTATTATTTTAATATATCTTAAGTACTCTTTCCAATGGGTATCTGTAAATTTAAATATCAGCACACTTTCTATAAGCTACACTTATTCTAAAGGCCACATAAAATATTTAAAATGTTAGGGGTATATTAGGATATCTGTGAAGCAGAGAAGATTCTAACATGAGCATTAAGGAATTATTTATTTTAATATTATTTTAAGCATATTTCCTCTATAATTAAAGAGGAATTGGGTCCCGATCTATGAAAATGCAACTTCCCTAGTGGTTTGATACTGCAAACCGACAAGAGCTACGCCCCTCATCAACCTCGATGAGCATCGCTCTGGATAGAAACAAGCAAAGATAGGATGTCTTCTACAGCATGCAATATGAGAAGAGTTTAATAGAACGTAAATTGAACGTATAATTGCTCTCCAAGGATAATTATGGTTGCATAAAGAGTAAGCGTCATAAATTATAAATGAACAAAAATGCGTAGGGAAACTTTCTAATGCGGTTGTCACCTAACAAAGAAACAAGTAAATGAAGATCCGGAGTAGGGAATCTTTTAGTCCATTGACAGGAATTTAGAAAAATAAATTTTTAGTTCGTTTGACTTGATTGATTAAAATGTGGTGTTATAAAAATCACACAACAAAATTCTTAATAAACTTTCAATCTCTATTTAACGAAGTTTGTATTATATTATAAACAAAACATTATACAAAAAACAGAACAGAAACGAATTTTTAATTTTTTTAGTTGACAAAATTTATTTTTCAGCAGGTATCATAACTCACTCTTTCTCAAGTGAAATTCTTTTTCCGTCATTTTATTTTCCAGGTCTTAAATCATTTTTGCTTTTCCTAATCTTTCAGCAAGTTTTATCTGATTTTTGGCAAGCATATCAATCTCGGCTTTTAATGTATCACAAAAACTACAAATGCCCTTTCTTAGATTACCGAAACCGATATTAAGCTTAGAATTTAAAATATTTGTGATTTTATACGACATTGAATCATTCGGAATTTTCCTTTTATAAATACTGTATTTTGTAATTTTGTGATGTTTAACTCTTCCTACACGTTTCTTTTCTAATTGTCTTTTAAGGATTAATGAAACTTTCTTCCCTTTAGAAAGCTGATAAACTCGATTGTTTTAGAAATAGTTTCCTCAGGAATTGCAAGTTTTCCTCTGCGGTCTATCGGTGCCTTTCTGTCGACGGCAAAAACTTTTCTTATTTTTTAACTCGATTTTTATAATACTGTAGAATGAAGCAAAGGCATTTATGCAGATTTGCACATCATTTCGCAGTCTGTCCTGGAAACAATGTACTCGATAAGAGTAAGACACATTTTGTGAAGATCCCTTATTTCCCAAACCAAAATGTCGGCGCATCACGGGCAAAAGTCTTAAAAGACCATCGAGACAATGATTTTGGGTATTATAATTCCCAAAATCATTAAAATCTTTGATAATTCGTTGTTCTTCACTTTCATGAATCAAA